CCCTGCTAAACCACCCGTCCGCTGCACCAGTCGGAGGGTATGTGCAGTCAGATTGGGCATAGAGCTCCATCGCATTTGTTGGTGGTGCCGGAGGCCGAGCGATGGACTGACGACCGATATCCACTGCCCGAGACAAGGCCCTTTGCTGCTTTGCGCAGAGCTGCATCTGCGGCCGACTATCCGTTCCTCAGGGCGCGTATAGGCGATATGTATGTTTGTGTATTGCAGCCCACAGCCCGCTGGCCGACTTTGCCGTGCCCAGCACTTGTTTCGGGGAGCGTGAGGGGAAGCTAATGGAGGCAGGAACCTGGGGTCTGGGAGGGGAGAGAGGCCTCAATGACAGCGGGACAGTCCAGGTGTCGTTTTCGGACTGTGCAGGAACCTGAATCTTGACAGTGCAGCTAGTGCGTGGGTACAGACCTGCCGGTACGTGGCCAAGCGTCACTGAAGTTGCCCGAGTGCGACTCGAGCCGATGCAGTATGAGATTGATAGGCTTGCTGTGTCTTACCTGCCCAATAGAGTGGCAACGGCCGTACTTCTCGGACAATTCCTTCCATTGGTCGTCTCGACTACATTGACCGGGCAGAACGAGTGAAAAAGGCTGGATCATCATGCAATTCAGCTCATCGTCGACAGCTCTGAGAGACGTAGGCCTGTGCCGACTTCCACTAGTCGAAGCCTTGGCCGGTACTTGCACAGTGCGCGGAGTTTCATTTTCCTTGGTCCGCTTGGCCCCGATCGTGGGTGAGTGCTGGCGTGCAGGCATCGCAGCTTAGGGGCATTCCGCCAGCGATACAGCGACCTTCCACTGTAAATTTTGCAATCCAGGCGCTAAATGGCCGGCTGCCCCCCTCTTACCTGTTCTGGCCCACGCCCCCAAAGCCTTGATGATCTGACCCTTCCCCATCGTCTGGACGGTCTCCCTTTGGCACTCTTCCTCCCCATCGCCGACCTCCCCCCAGCGACGCCGTCACTCCTCGCCGCCTCCCCATTGTCTACGACTGCATCAAGCGCAGCACATCTCTCTCGTTGGCACATCCAGCGGGGGGCTTCGACGCTGGCTGCGATTGCGGAGCGCCCGTGCCCTCAGCGACGGCGACGGCGACGCAATTAAACCTCCAGTAGGAGGCCGATCCGAACTTCGAAATAGTCGACGCTGGGCACCCCAGCACCCTAGAGCCCCTTCGATGGCGCACGACGAAAAGAGATCCACGGCCGCTGAGCCAACCGAAGCCGCGACGGCCAAGGCAGCCTCTCCAACTCAAGCGCCGCAACAAACGACGACTTCAGTGTCAAGCGACGACCACGACGATCAATCTGTGAGGATAACCCGCGCCACCGTATCTCGCCAAGTTCAATCTCTTGGACCCGTGGCATTTCTCATGCAATTGCAATGTAGCTAATTTGGGGTTGTCGCAATTATTGTAGATGCACTCTTACGATGATGACGACTTTTATTCAGAACACGATGGCGACTATCCCCCGAGGGCCCGCCAAGACCTCCATGTCACCGAAGACGATATCCTCGAAGCCCAGGCGCTCTCAGAAAAGCTCTCGCTCGAGGAAGTGCGCGACATCATGACGCGTATCTATAAAACCCACGAACGAGACCCCAACTTCCCGATTGTGGTGTTGACCAAGATCAAGACATTCCTAGATAACGAGCAATTGTTCAAGGAGAATGAAAACAATGAGAAACAGAACCCGGAGAATGAACTGCTTATCCGTCAGATGAAACTCGAGGCAGCTCTTCTCACGACGAATAGCCCGTACGCCGAAGTCCGCGCCGTGGTTGATAACAAGGATGATGTCAACGCGCCCTGCTCTACTATCCGTAGTTGGGCCATTGGTCTTATCTTCTCCCTGATGCTGGCGTTCGTCAACCAACTGTTCGATATTCGCCAGCCTACGATTCGAGTGATGGCGAATGTTGCGCAACTTCTTGCCTATCCGTTGGGTAAAGCCTGTGAGAATTGGCTTCCAGACAAGGGCTTCACCCTCTTCGGCGTTCGACACACTCTGAACCCGGGACCATTCCACAAGAAGGAGCACATGCTGATTACGATCATGGCAAATGTTGCCTACAACACCCCGTATACGAACTACATCATTTGGGTGCAATATTTGCCCCAGTATTTCAACCAACCGTATGCGTCTCATCCTGGTTATCAGATCCTGATTGCGCTCAGCACCAACTTTATCGGATACGGCATGGCTGGTATCTGCCGACGTTTCATCGTCTACCCTTCGTATTGTGTGTGGCCAGCATCCCTCGTCACAATTGCCTTGAACTCGGCCTTCCACAATTCAGACAACACCCCTGTACAAGGCCCCCTGGGAAGCATTTGGCGCATCTCGCGTATCAAGTTCTTCTACCTCATGTTCGCCGCCATGTTTGTCTGGTTCTGGTTCCCAGGCTACATCTGGACTGGTCTGTCCAAGTTCAGCTGGATGAGCTGGATTGACCCAGATAATGTCAATCTGAACGCAATCGTTGGTTTCAACAATGGTTTGGGTATCAACCCTTTCCCCACATTGGATTGGAACACATTGCTTTGGGATTCTTCCGACCCTCTCATGGTCCCCTTCTTTAGCACCATCAATCGTTTCCTCGGCGCCTTCATCTCGATGTGGGTTGTTGTGGGTATTTGGTATGGCAACGTATTCGACACGGGCTACCTACCTATCAACTCAAACCGTGTATACGACCACTTTGGCAATCTCTACAACGTTACAAAGGCTACCAACGCAAAGGGTCTTTTTGACGGCCAAAAGTACGATGCTTACTCGCCCCCATTCCTCAGTGCCGGCAATGTCACTGTCTACCTTTTCTTCTTCAGTGTATACACTTCTACCCTGACTTACGCTGTCTTGTACCACCGGCATGAACTAGTCACTGGTTTCAAGGGCCTTTTCAGTGGTTTCCGGCGCAATAAGAAAACAAGCCATGACGACCAGATCCTCGACGTTCACCATCGGCTAATGAAATCATACAAGGAGGTTCCTGAGTGGTGGTACATGGCCTGTCTAGTTATCGCCATTGCATTTGGTGTTGCCGGCATTGCGACCTGGGAGACCAACACCACTCCCGGTGTTGTCTTTTACGGTCTGGCACTGTGTCTTGTCTTTGTCATTCCCGTTGGCATTATCAAGGCTATGACTGGTATCGAAGTCACACTCAACGTTCTCGCTGAGTTTATTGGAGGTTCTTTCGTTGAGGGAAATGCCCTGGCCATGAACTTCTTCAAGTCTTTTGGCTATGTAACGTGTGCTCACGCAGTTTGGTTCTCCAATGACATGAAGCTTGCGCACTACGTCAAGATCCCCCCTCGCCAGACTTTCTTCGCCCAGATGGTGGCTACCTTTGTTGGAACCCTTGTTTGCGTTGGTGTTCTTAACTTCCAGATGAGGCACATTGATGGTGTTTGCACACCAGACGCTCAATTCCGACTCACTTGCCCTGGAGTGAACACTTTCTTCACCGCATCCGTCCTCTGGGGTACTGTTGGGCCAACCAAGATTTGGGGCCGTAACGGACAGTATACCGAGACTCTGATTGGGTTCCCCCTCGGTGTTGTCGTTGTCGTCTTCTTCTGGTTACTTTCCAAGAGATTTCCCAAGTCAACTTGGTTGAGGCAGATTCACCCCGTGGCTATGATGTATGGTGGAATTGTTTGGGCACCTTACAACATGTCATACATCTGGCCCTCGGTTCCTATTGCCTTTTTCTCGTGGATCTACCTCAAGTCACGCTTTCTTGGTTTGTGGTCCAAGGTACGTTTTGTGTTTCTATGTCTCGCATCTTGTGGTATATGTAACTCACCTGTTCTGCTCTAGTACAACTTCGTGCTCTCGGCTGCATGGTCTTGCGGCATCGCCATCTCTGGTATTCTCATCTTCTTCACCTTACAATGGACTAGCACAGAGTTCGAATGGTGGGGCAACAACGTGCCGTATGACGGCTGTGAAGGCACAGCTTGCCCACTCAAGACATTGGGACCTGATGAATACTTTGGCCCCCGGATAGGACAGTTCCACGGCTGAATATGACCTTCCACCCTTTGACGTTCTACAAACTTTCACCTTTTCATCATCCTCCATCATGCGTGCGATATTTTTCCGGAGTTAAGCTATACTGGTCATACTGGGGTCATATGTTACTGTGTTTTATCTAAATCGGCGAAGGGATGGAACGGGGTGTTTTCTCATATTGCTCCGCAATTTGCACTGGGTATATCGGGTCTCTTTGGTTGAGAATCAATGGTATTTGTTTGCTTGTTTCATCACATGATCTGTCTATTCGACCGTCCTCCGCCCCACCCCCATTCTACTTTTATTGTTTATTCATGCTCGGCTCTTGAGCCAGTCTCTTGGGACAAGGGTATACCCGGAATTACGTGTCTCACCAAGTTCCACTTTTTTGACCTTGAATCTTCCCAAAGTGTGGGCCTTACATAGATGGATAAGAATTGGATCATCATTGGTCAAACTACGTGTCTCAAAACTACGTGTGTTGCCTTTGCCTTGATGTCGAATAAGATGTGTTGTTGGTTTATAGATTCTGGTTTGATTTGGTGGTGGATTTTTTAAAAAAGCGTTTCACGAGAGAGCAAGAGTTGGCGAAGTGAGTTCAAACAAAAAAATCAATCATTCATCCCTGAACGCCTGCTGCGTTTGTATCTATCTAGCCGATGATGTTTTAAAAATCAGAAAAAGTACATGGTATCCTTGGCCAGACAAAGTACAACCAGACAGAAAAAAAAGTAACCCAAAAGAAAATCATAAGTTTATCAAGATCCCCAAGCAAATCGTCCAAAAGTTAAGAAGATAAAACACCCCCTGAAGAAAATGAAGAATAAAAGAAAAAAGAAAAAAGAGAAAATGAAATTGTGATGCTGTATATGACAATGAAAAGAGACTGATGTCTCAGGGTATATAATTGCCCATTCAGTTTCATCATGCTTGAATCATATCTTTGCATAATATCGTGATGCGATTTTTAGTTGGCCAGCCAGGCCGGCCCGAGAGGTGAGACGGGACTTGTAGGGTCGGTGTTGTCCGAGTCCATGCTTCTCCTCTTGGGCGGCATGGCACTCATCGGGCTCACCGCCATCTCCTGGGGGAATTCGCGACCAAATGCAGGTGACGGAGCTGCCGGGGAGAACGGCACGTGGTGGCCGGCTGGCGGTGGTTGAAGATCATGAGGTGGGGGAGCGAACGAAGGTGTTGAGATGGCACCACTTCCGCCCCTGGCGATCTCAGCTGCGCGGGGAGGCAGCTCGATCGCGACAGGCTCGCTGATGACTAGTGAGCTCTTATGAGACTCGATGCTTCCCCCAGAGGTCTTGTGCTTGTGTTGGCGAAGGCCGCGAAGCTTGCCACCCAGAGTCTTGCGGATCGACTTTGTGTTTTCCGCATCTCTAATCGTTGGTTTTCCTGGACCGTATGGAGCAGGAGATGCGGGCACAGAGCCAAGGCCAGGCCCAGGAACAGGCCCAGGTGTAGGCGGGGGAGCAGCAGAGACAGAAGTATGGCTCGAAGGACCGGAGCTCATCGAACCGGCGCTCTTATGGCGACTAGATAGCGCTGATGCCGAGATACTGCCCCAGCTCAGATGACCCTTCTTCTTGATGATTCCAGAGACAATGCCTTCGTCGGCAAGTTTCTTTACAATGAAGTCATACTGCATAGACATGGTTGGGTTTTCAGTGATGTCACATGCGTACAGGTATACTCTGTGCAAGCCCTTGATGGGTTGTTTCGAGAACTCGTCGTTGAGACGCTCAGCCATAGCCTGGGCAGGGAGTACTGACCCCCAGAGGTCAAAGAAGTTTGCTCGGTGTACATGATCGCTAGGAACGCCGAGAGCCTGGGGGTTCAATACCTCAGTCCACACGGAGAAGATGAGAGACTGCAGGATCTTGCGGTCATCATTTGGCAATGACTGATATGACTTATCAGGTCTGGGGAGGGGCCATGGTGTGCTCATTGGAATCTTCGCTTGAGAGTGCAGCAGGTCAAATGAGGACTGGATCATCGGCGTCTCAATGGTATCATAGTTTGTGACTGACTCAACAGCATACAAGAGAACCCGTAGGACATCTTCTGCAACGTCGGTAGGAATTCGGCTCTCGGAGTACTTGATTTCCAGGGTGACAGTTTGAGGCCCGTCCATAGTCGAGACTACAAGAATATCAGGGATATCTTGCATGCCCGCTTTGGCGATGGTGTGAGTGAACGTCGTATCGCCCATGTTTAGGGTAGTTGAACCATCCACTGGTGCCTGGGGGCGATGATGCACGACCGTACTAAAATTGGTCCAGTAAGGCCAATCGGTACAGCGCTGGACAAGCTCCAAGATTCCGAGGCCTTCGTGGGGTCGGCTCGTGACTCTTTGCTCCTGGATGGGGCGGAGGAATTCAAGGGGCGTCAATTGATCCACGGAGAACTGGATGCGGACTGGAATAATGTTTGTAGTCGGCGCGATCAAAGTAGCCATATCGAAGCGATCTGGTAGTGGAATGTTGGCACCCTGGGTGACCTCACCGAAGACGACATCGCTAGTCGCAGAGAACTGAGCCAGCGTGATGGCCCATGCAGCCTTCAGGATGGTATTGAAATTGAGACCAAACTCAGAAACAGGGTCGACTTGGATTGTCTGGGAGACGGACATGATGTCGCCGGCGGGCGGGTAAGGCTTTTCGTGAGCAACAAAGTGCGTCATCTGGGCGCTCTCCAACTTGTTCTTCCAAAACTCAACGCTGGCCTCGCTGTTGACAGCCTGGGCAGCTCTCATGTAGTCGAAGAAGTTGGACTTGTCTGAGAGAGTGGCCGAGCCCTCGTACAGAGCAGCTAGATCTTGTACCAAGATCGACATTGCCTGTTCGTCGATCTGCGAGCTACTTAGGCGAATGATAAGGGTGCTCTGTGCTCCAGCATCGAGGAAAGTAAACTTGGTGACAGGCTCTTCAGGTCTGAACGTTGAATCTTGGTCTTCGGCAACAACGTTGGCTGTGACACTCTCAAGACACCATGCTGGGCAAGGATAACGCTGGAATTCGGGCCTAAAGTTACCAAGGTGAACCTGGTAGACAACACGATTGTGGACGGCAAACGCAGTGCGGAAAGCTGGGTGAAGTTGGGTCAGCGTCTCACATGCGGTCTGGAGCTTCTGGACACGGATTGGGCCATTGAAGTTGAAGATCAAGCACTGCATGCCACCCTTCTTGCTGTACATCCGGGTTTCCAGTGCCCGCACTTGATGTGCCGACGCCTCGGTAATGTCCAAGATGTCGTGACGGCGAACCCTCATTTTCGGGGCGATGTTTTCTTTGATGAACTTCTCCTCAAATCCTGGAATATTGAAGCCGCCCTCAGTCATCGTGGCTGGTCGGATTTCGGAATGAACACGCTCGTTAAAGGTGATCTCCGACGTCGCGATCGCCTGGCAAATCTCAGTCAAAGTATTACCTCTAAGCACATCGAGAAGGTAAATTGTGAGGTGTGACTTTCTGCACTGGATAACCAGCTTTCCAGCCAGGAATCTATCGCCGCCAAGTCCAATGAAGCTGTCATTGCTCTTGATCTTGGAAGGCTGGATATCTAGCACGTTGGCCCAAACATGACGCATCCTCTCCTCAACGTGTGTAAGAGGTAGAGGCTTGTCCTCCTCTTCTGAATCAGGGTTCGTTGAAACTCCAATCAACTCAGTGTAGGTCATGCCCAAGACTTTCTTAGCCAACTTGCGTCGATTCACCTTCATCGAGGTTGACATGGGGAACTGCTTCAGGGGAATGAATGTTGACGGGATTTGGTCAGCAGTGATAGCTCTCATCTTGCCACTGCCCTTTGCCGAACCTTCATGAAGGGCTCTGAGCAGTTGTGTCCTCTCGCGTGTCTTCGTGCGCAGCTTCTCCAGTTCTTTGGTATTGTGCTCGAGGTCATATCCGACTTCCAGGAATGCAGCCAGGATTTGGACTGCGTCACGAGTGACCACAGACTCAACTACAACGTCGACTTTTCCACCGAGGTAGCGGCGAAGGTGATACTCAATCTCGCCGACAGGGAGCTGAGAGCCATCCAGTGTTTGCTCCTCATACATTGAAGATATGAATTGAATGCTACCATCATCAAGATAACGAACAAGGTGGCCAGTCTTGAGATAGCGATTGCGGCTCGGCTTCTCCGTGGTGAGCGAAACTGGAGCAACAACAGTCTTGTCAGGAATATATGTATGTGGTGTCAGGAGGGGACAGTCGATGGCTAGTTCGCCAACAGCACCTATCGGCATCATCTTCTTGGAGTCTTCAGGGTTTAGAATCCAAAACTTTCCAATGAGAGGCGGGGGGATAACAGAGCTGTCAGTGGAACCAGTAACTTCAGCAATAGAAATGCCGAGAGGGCAGATTTCGGTTGCACCATATGCCAACATAATGTTTCGGCTTGATCCCCAGAAGTTGTACATGTCATCGTCCAGTTTCCTAGTTCGGAAGCAGAGAGTCTTCAGGCGAGGAAGATAAGCAGGATCGAGGCGGCGAGCGAGAGTAGCCGTCATGTACGACCAGGTGATGTTCATTCGGGCCATCACACCACCAAGGTCCTCAAGGCGATCCTTGCCAGATGGGATACAAACACAGCCTCCATGAACCATAGTGCCCAGGATTTCTACAAGCGCAATGTCCTGGCTAAAAGAAGAGAGCTGCAAGACACGACTGTCCTTGCTCATTCTAAGTGCCGGGCCCTGTGCCATGAAAGTCGAGGCGAGAGAAGCGTGTGTGAAGAACAGGCTTCTCACAGCTGAGACTCTCGCCTTTCCGGGGGTAAATATTATGACAGCGCCATGATCAGGGGTAGGCTCCGAGAGGGCAGGAATTGAGACCTGAGGAGGGAGAATGGAGAAGAATCGTTCATTAACAATGACAAGATTTGGCACAATGCACACCAAATCATTCAAGGCGGAGTCGGTAGCAAGAACAATCTGTGGCTGAAGATGCTTGATTGTAAACTCTGCTGCTGCCTTGTCCTGAGCGTCGAGAGCGATAATGCTGCCACCAGCCTTAAGGACTGCGAGCATGATGACTGGTGCCCACTGGCTCTTTTCCAGTACAATAGGCACGGCAAGACCAGGGACCACACCAATGTTTCGAAGATGAGTGGCCAGGGTTGATACGCAGTACGTCATTTGAAGGTAGGTCATATGGCCATCCCATGCAGCAATTGCTGGCGCATTGGGCCTTGTTTGCGCATGGCGGTAGATGAGGGTATGGAGGCAGCTGTTCGTCTTCTCCTCCCGCGGCTTGAATTCGATTTCATTCACCAGAAGTTGTGAGTGGTCCCTCTCTGTGAAAAGATCAACGTTGTCCACAGTTTGGTTTGAATCCTCAAGAATGAGTTTGACAGCCTTCTCAAAAGTGTTCACAACTGTCTCGGCCTGTGCGACAGTCATGCTCCTGAATGTAAAGTCGATATGGAGATTATCACCAATAAACATGGTAGACATGGAGACATCACAGCCCGAGCTGCGGGATGAAGTCATCAGGCTGGCCATGAAGCTAGTGCTGTCAAGCTCGGGCTTGTGGTGACGAGCATTATCAAAGTCTCGGAGCGACAGGCACGTGTTGAAGAGATCTTGAGAGGTGAGCCCGGTGGCATGGTGAATCTCAGACATGTTGGGGTTATCATTCCGTCTTGCGATTGCTGCGATTTCTGCAAAAGACTTGAGGCACTCGATGATCTTGCGCTGAGGTAGCAGCTCAACAGTGCAGGGCAAGAGAGAAGCAAAACTGCCGATCGCTTTCTTCATCCCATGCAAGTTGTTCTCGTCCCGGCCCGCGACTTCGAATCCAAAAGAAACATGATCCATTCCGACGTATGCGCGCAGGACAAGTGCCCATGCAAGTTGAAGAACATAAGCTGGTTGGATCTCCCGTGCTATGCAGAAGGTGTGAATGTCATGGCGTTCCACTTTCAAGGGCAGGAAAATGGACTGGCGTTCAGCCTTGGAAGGAGGTTTTCGCATGAGAACTGGGAAAGTGCAAGGTCGAACATGTGCCAGGGTAGAGCGCCACTCGTGGAGACTGTGTGATAGATCCATGGTGGTTGCGTTAAAAAGATAGGTATGGAGAAGAAGGCCGTCTTCAGAGACTTCCTCGCCAGATAATAACTCTCTCACTCTGGTGATGATGTTGTCAATGGAGGTTGCGTCAATGACCGCCTGGCTAGCATCAATCCTGACATAGGTCCTCTGGTTCGACTTGCACACCGACAAACGATGACGGGGCTGGCCAGGAGTTACCTTCATAGAAGGTAGAGCAGCGAGAGTCTCTACTGGCCTGTCGCTGTCTAGGAAAAGCATCTCTGGCGAAACCCGCTTGAGCACCACTTGGTCAAAGAGGCCATCCTCTGAGATGCTGTCAATAAAGACACTGCGCATGGATGAGTGGGCTGCGACCACAGTTGTCCAGGCCGCACAGAGCCTCTCCTGGCTCACAGGCTTTCTGTCGCGTGTGTTGAGCTCATACAGGGAATGACAATAGAAGCTGTCAGGGTCCTGACCTTGGCTAATGAGGATTTCCTGCTGGTTGGGGCTCACAGGGCAGATTGTCTCGATCTCTCCCACATCATTGAGTCCCATCTGTTCCAGCCGCTCGCTAGCCAATTTTGACAAGCCTTCATAAGTGACATTGAGCAGCGGCGCATCCGCTCGAGTCAATGTTGGCCCCATGTTACTCAACATCCCAATGGCTTCATGCACGCAAGATTCAAACGATTGTAGCCATTGGATGATGCGGTCCTGGCGCTTTGGTGACACATATCGCACACCGACGATTGTACCACTGTCTTCAATTGAGACTTGAAATTCGTAAAGGGCAAGGCGGCCAACATCCTGACCAACATCAGAGTTGACAGATCCCAAAGGTCGTCCGGGGGCGCTGGCTGGCCGAAGGAGACTGCCCTCATAGCTGATCCTGTTCCATGTATCGACGCAGTTGAACAGGATTTCCACGGGAGTCGTCGTGAACGGCTGGGATGGGGTTAAGAACTCAGTGTTGAAGAAACCAATGCCCAGGTTGGGGATCAGTCTCCGGGTATCCTTCATCAGCTTCAGTAGCTCCATCACATCGGCGCCAGTGTCTACATTGAGATGGACCGGGCAAAGCGATGTGAACCAACCGACAGTTTGATCGATGTTGAAGTCGGGATTTCTCGAGTCACGTCCGTGCTCCTGAGTCCACATTGTAGGAACATCTCGGTCTGGGAAGGTTCGACGGAACGAAAGAAGCAAGGCAGTTAAGAAGACATCGGCAGGCTCAGTACGGAAGATGCTGTCGCAGGTTTCCTGCAGTATCCGAGTGGTCTCGGCGTCGAGACTGAAGCTGAATTGCTTGGATCTGCCGTACGTGTTGTCGGAAAGGTCTAGGTCCCAGTATCCCAAACTAGGCGGCAGCACTTCGAAAGGAAGCGTGGGCTGGGTGAGCCTGTGGCTGGACTCATAGCCCTGGTATTCGATCCAGTTGGAGAAGGGGATGGAGGGGTTAGACATGACGATTCCTTCACGGAGAAGTTCGTCCAGATCAGATACCAAAGTGCGCCAGGATGCACGATCGACAGCCAAGTGATGCGCAACCAAGAAGAGGTACTGCTTGTGGTCAGAGGTGGTGATGTAGTCGGCAGAGAAAATGGGACCTATAATGGGGTTGATTGACTGGACTGCCCTCTCGATGATGGCATCCAAATCATTCTCGTTGCGAATCTTACGGCTCTTGTACCGGAACATATCCACGTTGGACTCTGACAAGATGACCTGCGCCCAGCCTTCAGCAGTGAGGCGGAATCGGGAGCGGAGCATAGAGTGCCTGTCAACCAGAGCTGTGATGGCATTTTGGGGGGTGATTGACTTGGAGCTCGACTTCATCTCCAGAAGAATGCTCTGGCTGTATTTATAGCCCGAGGTGGTAATGGAGTTGGGGTCGGGATTCAGGTTCATGGATGTGCGGAAGAATAGCTGCTGCATGGCCGACAGAGGAAAGAACTCGACATTGTCCAAGCTCTCACCGGCCATGAGCTCCTGGCCCTCAACCATGCCAGACTCATCCTCAATCCACATGGAGAATGTCTTGAGCGGGCGGGTGGTGGAGAGTCTGTTCTGGAGCAGAACAGAGCTCTTCCTATCGAGCTTCTTCTTGGACTGGTAGACGGAGTGCCGCGCGTGCTGCTGAGGCGGCTCGCGATACTGCTGGACGTGTGCCTCGGCTGGGGGGCTGGCGGGGAGCTCCAGCGGCTCCAGTGGTTGCTCCAGCCCTAGGCCAAAGTTAGGCGCCAGTCCCGGCACCGGCTCATCGGGCAGCGGGTACGCCTTGGGCGGCTTCAGAATCGACTTGGGCTTCTTGGGCGTCGGGGTCGGCTCTGGCACCTCGATGATGGCGGAGTGGCGGAGGACGAGCTCGGGCGGGTAGCTGGACTTGTTGCGAGTATGCGATGCTGACGGTCCGGGCAGCGGGTGCTTGGGCGGTGGCAGGCGCTGCTGCTGTGGTGGGGGTCCCGTTGGTGGAGCGTAAGTCTGGCGGTTTTTGTATGATGGCTCTGCACTGTTTTCGGCATGTGGCACGCTCCTCTGGCCATCCGACTTCTGCCCAGGCGCCGCCGCAATGCTCTGCGGAGGACTTGCCCGTCTCGAGCTACTCTGCGAACCTGGAGCCGAGCTCGGCCCAGCCTGGCCCAGGATCGTCTGGAAGTTGCGGATGCGGTCCTGCTCAGCGTCCGCCAGGTTCCGCAGCCACCACTGCAGCGCGCGCAGGGCCGGGTTTCCGTTCTTCTTGAGGACCATTGCGTGCACGGGAATCCATAGATCTGGCGCTGGAGACTCGGCTCCCCACTCGCGAAGGGCCATGCTGATCCGCCTGATGCGCTCCTCGATCACCTTGAGCTGATCTGCCACCGGAAGGTAGAAGCCCTTTGCTTCGCTGACGGGCTCCGTTTTGTTGCTCACAAAGGCCACCAGGTTGTTCTTAAAGGGGCCGGCTGCGACCCTCAAAAGGCAGTAGTGGTCTCCTCTTGCCGCCATGCTGAGAAATCCCTCCAGATCTTGCATGAGTCGGTCCTCTGCCGTCGCCTCACCGTCATTGGTGGCTGCTGCTGGGTTCGGTTCTTCGATAACCTCCTCGACCACCTTGGCAGGTTCCCTAGCTGGAGCCGATTCGCCGGGCCCCTGGAGGGCCTTCTGCTCCGGTAGTGCTCCATATACGGACGGCAGGCTGTAGATTGACGCTGACGGGCCGTGGAATCCCTTCGGGGCATAGACTGACGGAACACCGCCGTAGATTGACTGCGAACCGTAAATGGACGAAGATGCCGACTGTCCCTGCGCCGGGGACCCATTACTCCTCGTGTCCATGGGCATGGCCATCGGCATGACGGGAGGCCCATTATATCCTGCCGTCGGGCTGAGGACCTGTTCCACGGATCGGGCGTGCGTCTGCAGCTCGGCGATGGTTCTGCATCGGAAGACGTCGTCGGCGGATACGGCGATACCAAGCTGCTTCAGGCGCCCCTCGAGCTGGAAAGCAGATGAGATGTTTCCTCCTAGCTCCACAAACGAGTCGAAGAGGGGGATCTTGTCTCGGTCGATGTTGAGTGTTTGCGCAATCTCCGTCAGAACGATTTCGGGGATCTGCTGCTTGGCGGCAGAGGCCGAGTACTTGCCGACGGCCTTCTCCTGCGCCATTGTAGCTTGTATTCTGTCGCGCTTCTAAATTAACAATGTTTTACAAATCACGGGTCCAGGCAGACTCCAGAGGCTGCGTCTTGGTTACAGAGCCGCCAGCATGCTCCGGTGTCAAGAAACCCAATCAAACTGCTCCCTATCTCGTCGATAATGCGGTGTGTCTCGTCAGCGGTGTGTTGGCCGTTGGTAGCTGGGTATCGGTAAGGGAATGCGGATGCGACAGAGAGACAGATGCAAGAAAGTAAGGAAAGAACAGATTAGAATCAATTAAACGCGCAAAAAGTGTAGAAAGAGGACAGAAACCAAATGGAAGGCGGCCGAGTCGGATCTTGGACATGAATATACTGCCCGCCCGTAGTAATACTGGTGGTCCCGTCGTGACAAGGGTCTACGCTGCCGTAAGGATGTGTATGACATAAGGCCAGAAATAGCAATTACTAGGTCTGTTCGGGCATGAGACACGATCCACCTCTGGAGAACAGTCAATGCACCGCACCTGGTTGGAGGGGCAGAGATAGAGCACCAGAACCGATCCCTGGCTGCTGGCAGTTGGTATGTCGTAAGACGGCCAACAATGCCCTGGCTGTAGCGCCCATCTCTTTTCCCTGCAGGCAATTAGAGCGCTGGGCTTTGGTGGAGGGCAGCCAGACCGACACTACAGGTACCTAACACTGCCCGAGGGACAGAGATGACCCAAATATAGCAACGCTGACAGCGGTCAAAGGCGCTAACCAACGCTTCACATCAGGCATTCTCCAGCTGGAGGCTTCGACAGACGCTCGCCTCCATCGCGACTGACTGCCGGGCGTGATGGCAGACATCTACACCTACACTACCTAGAGATGACACCTTGTTCATCAGGATGCGACGTATGCACAGCAGCCGCATGGCATGATGCGACGCACGGTTCGGATATGGAGTGCATGCTGTGTGTTCTGGTAGGGGCTGGCTAAAACCGGCGCCCAGCACCCGAATAATTAGGTGCAATTGAGGGAAGCACATGCATGAAGGATTCAGGCCCATTCTGCCAGTCCATTTTTGTGCTTCCCTCCTGCGCCAGGCAGCGGGCCCCTTCACCCACCACATCCAGTTTGCACCACGACAGCGTGTTTCATGATATTAGAGAGGGGCATCACAAATTAAACCGTTGCTCGTCATCTTCCTACGTACCCTCGAGCCTCGATCACGGCTGGTGGATTTCTGGAGGCCCCCCAGAAGCGTGCTAACTGCTTACGCCCAAGCCCAAAAGTAATTGCCGTCCACCCATGCCAGGACCAGGTGGAAATGTCTCGCCCTGCACGCTCTCAGCTGGATCTGCAACGGGTGTCAAATTTGGAACAGAGAGCTGACGCCTCGCTGGAGTTTTGACTGCTAGCCTCTGCCGGCTTCACTGCCTAACCTGTTAGCCACTAATTACGTGCATGAAGACCAAGCCAGCAACATAACACTTGCCAAAGACATTATGCTCTATTCTAGCCTGTTAAATGCACACATATCTTTAATGCGATGCCATCGCTGGCTGGTTGGTAAGACACTCTACACCATATTCTCTAACTCTCTTACCGGGCTGTGTAGACACCTCTCTTACTCTCCATGCCTATAGAGGCTAAAGAGCTGAAATGCATGCTACCATTACACATCACGATGTAAGGCAATAGTCCTATGGCGCTCATTCCAAGTCAGCTGTTAGTGCCACGGCAGCCAGGCCATGGGTTCGGTATTAACAACTATGATGCTATCCCCAAAGAGGCACCTATCCCAGGTTTACCTGCCTTTTAGAACTACAACCCGGGAAGGACAATTTCAACGAGCAAGGTGATAACGAGAGATCAGACGGGGATCTTCCCAGCCGCGGAATGATCGGTAGTACTCACTGTAAGGCAGAGGAAGCCTGGCCGCGCGCGATCACCCGTCTGACCAACGCTATTTTTGCTCTTACGGTATTATACCCTTGCCGGTTATGATGCGCAAAGGAGCTGAGCTGCAAACTCGCCGGGTTGCATACATAAGCGACTTCCCCCACCACCCCGATGCCTTCGATGACGCTGCGTTTCCATCCCTCGACGGAACTACTTGTGAACTTCAGTCTGCATCAATCATGGTGACCACGATGCGGCTTCTGTTCTCACAAATTACCCCAGAGTTTCAGAATTTAGGTTTTCCCTCCTCGTGGCTATTCCATTCCTTAGTGGGAGGCAAAGCAGTTCTGTCGATCGATATAGAACTACCTGCCGTCCTTAATATGTATCCCTCTATCTATGTAAATTATATATAGGTACCTCTACCATAGTCTTCCAACATGAACACCGTATTCCCTCGTGTTTCTACTCTCCAAGTCCCATTGCAAGGGCTCGCTCGACAATAATAGCACCAATAGGGCAGAGCCCCAAATGTGAAACAAATGCAGCCTTACCCAAAAATCCTCCACCACATGCCGCGCCGCCCCCAGCCATGATGCAGATTTTCCGGTCCAAGCCAAGCCCAGGCCAGGCGGATGGGTGGGATGCCACCTTGTCCTACGTCAGGCCACACACACACACCAACCCGCTCCCCTCACAAAGGGGGCAGGATGAGATGGCCCAGGCTGCGACCATGCCGTCCCTCCGGGCAAAGCTGAGGGATGCCTTCCCGTCTGGCAGTGTTCTCGGGGCCCCCCAAGCCATGTGGTGTAGACGTGCTGCTGTCGAAAACCCGCCCAGACGGAGCTTATCTGTTCCCTAGTGCGTGCCTGACAGTGTCACGAGGCTTTCGCCATGCCACGATCTGTTTATAGTTCATCGTGTCAGCAAAAAAATGCATCAGGCTCGGGAGGGCCAGTAACATCGTCGTACCCGTAGATATACACCGACATAGAGCGCCAACACGATGGCAAAGAAAATTCGGACGAGCATTTCCCCACCCCTTGGCTCAAGCACGTCTATTGAAAAACCCACGATGTTCGCTAAAAAAAGGACGGATGAGCTGAAATACAGCTCAATCACCAGGCACAACCCGCTCCAAGGATAGGCGCCAAGGGAATAGACGACAACTACGATGTGAACAGAGCGCGGATTTAGTTTGTGCTATGTTCTATCTCCGACTGTCCTGATGGTGGGAGGGCGGTCACGCGAGGGCGGTCATATGCGGTATAGGGTAGTTCATCATTCAGGGAAGGGTCTACATCCGCTTATCTGATAATAGCAGCCTTAGGAAACCCTGCCTTGCACCATTACTATGTTGGACGACTTCGATGTACATATATTACACTGCATTTTCTAAGCCAGTATTACTAGAAATTGCATTCTCGCTCTTCCGTCCAAGGGCGGGTTGAAAGCCCTCATTCGCCTACATCTTGACATATCGTAAGGGTAGGCTGTATATCCTGTGCTCGCTGCGACTCGCCTGGATCTTAAACAACTACCTCGTCCTCATCTGGGTCCTCAATGCTAGTCCTCCTCTTTGCCTCTATTACCTGGGGTGGGTGAGACGCGCTGCTGTCACCTTCAACCCCGATAGCAAGGCCCTGTGCCTTGGTATCATCTTCCTCTGCATGCTTCTCCTTCTCGCTCTTGGCACCAAATGGCCAGAGCCCACTCAACCCTCGGCTTCCTTCCTTAGCTGGGTTGACAGCTAGTGGTTTGAGGACCAGATTCTCTGGGCTGTCGTTATTAGCTTTCTCATCCCCGGCCATTGCAAAATCTCCAAATTCTTCGTCGTCATCATGGTCGTTTTCATCATCAGAGTCCTTGAAGTCATCGTTGCCCTGCCGCCGTACCACCCCTCTCCACCATGCACCTCGACCACTATCTCCTAAGGTATCCTGGTCGTCATCGTCGTCAAAATCATCATCGCCGTCAGCAAATGGGTTGGCGATATTGCTGTCATCATCGTCATATTCGTGTAGCGTTGCCGACGACGCCTCTGCGGCTTGGTTGTTTTTCTGATGCATTGCTAACCTTGCAGCCAACTGTAACCTAGCCCGTGAAGGGGGAATGTTCAGTGGCGGTGGTGGTGGAGGCGGCGGAGGGATGGATGGGGGTGCCATGGAACCATCGGCGTTGTTTAAGGAATCTGTGTAGGCACGAAACTGCGAAGGGACATTAGTGTCCCGTCCAAATCTTCCACAGGATAGTATTCCTGACGTGGATGCCTTTCGGCACGTCCAGAGGGCTATCCAAAATCAAGATTAGCTACTACTCACCTCGGAATTCACGTCTTCTTCGTCCCCTTCACCGTCCTCATCCTCATCATCGTCCTCATCGCTGCTGCTTCCGAACCCTGACATCAGCGGGCTGGTACCGCCAATGGCGAACGGCCCTATCCCGTTTCCATTATTCTCACTCAGCTCAATACCTCCATTTAGACCAGCTTCGGCCAAAGCATTAGATCCGGTAGCAGATCCGGAGCCGCTAATGCCGGATAAGCCAATGCTGCCCAACCCGCCAACAGCTCCCAGGCTACCTCTGTGACCTAAGGCTACCTCAGGCCGAACTCCCCCGAGGATAGCATTATCTCGCTCTCGAGTTTCGGCCAGGGCACCCTCAACGTAGTTGATCCAATCCTGGCTCATGACCCTGTCAAGAACCATTTCGGACAACAGCTCAGGTGGGTGTCGCTCAGTGAATTTAACAACCTCCTCGGCAATGAGAGTGAGGTGTCCCATGTATCCCATACGGGTCTTTGTCTTGGCATGCGACTCGTCGCTAACTCTTTGACCATTGATAATGGCTGATGTGATATTAGCTGCTTCGAAGAGAGACACAGCCAGTGTAGGGTTGTGGCTACGATCCATAGGACCGTTAAATACTTGCTGGACAATATCGTAGACGACATTGTGAAGGAAGTTGTTCCATGGATAGGCGAAAAAGAAAGACTTGATGCAGAGGTTAGTTCTCGAGCAATGGAATAAACAAGGATGCCATCCTTACCAGAATGGTGGGCACAACTCGATGCTCCACAAACTGCCTTTTGAGGTAGTCTCCCACAACGGGTTCGGTGGCCTTCTTCGGCTGCTCATTCGA